CCCTGCATCTCCCATGCCCTGCAGTGGATCACCCAGGGCAGGGACCCGCTCTTCCAGATGCCTGCCTCCAAGGGCCTCCATCTGCACCCTGTGGCTAGCACTGGTGCCGTCTTGCTCAAGGAAGCCACCGTCATCCGTGTGCTGGTCACAGGAAGCCTGCACCTGGTGGGTGGGGTCTTGAAGCTGCTTGACCAGTCACTCTCGCAATAGAGACTGCTGGGGTGGTGCCTCTGCCCTGCCCTTCGTTGTTTACTTGAATATTCCTTGGCACCTTGTTCCAGCCACTCCAGGGATGCTGGTGACCAGGCCTCAGCCCTGGGGTAGAAGGGGCAGGCTTGGGCCAGCCTCTGGGATCTGAGCCACCTCCTTGCTGTGTGGTCCTCCCTCTAGGCAAATCCTTTTGCCCCAAGAACAGCAGGACCTGCCCCTAGGGCTGGGGTTGGCACCCCTGACTTCCACAGCCCAGGACTGGGGTTTTCATGCTCAGCCCTTGCTTGCTGAAGTGAAATCCGTGCCCTCGGCAGATCCAGCCTCCCCTGGGAGCGGGCTCTGGTTTGGAGACCCAAGTGCTGGATCCCTCCTGCCTCAAGGCACCTGAGGGGGCAGGCCCTTGTCTGCCAGTCTTGTCACCGCTGCTCTTCGCAGTTTGCTGGCAGGTCTGTGCTTCTGCCCTCCCAGGAACCAAGAGCCACTGGCTCTCAACCGCTCCTTCCCCAGCTTGCCCAAGCAGGTGCAGGCTGGTAGCAGTCTGTCCCTGTCTTCTGGGACCAACCCCACCCCACTTCCTCCCCACCCACTCCAGCTCTGGGCAGCAGGTGGGGAAAGGAGCTGATTGGGGTATGTTTGTCTGCTTTTCCATGCTGGACACTGAACCTTGGGACGATGGAGAGTGCTCCTTACTAAAAAGCAGGAGTGTGGAGGGAAACTCCCTGGGAGGGGGTGTTGGCACCCCCAGCTGGCACGTGGCCCTCAGTGTGGGGCACTTGCCACAGTAGGCTGTGCTGGGCCAGCCCTGCCACCACTGCCTGATGCTTAGGGGGTCCCCCCCACCCATCCTTAGTGCCTTTGTCTCCTCCCTGGATTCCCCTCCCTGCAGTCTGAGCCTAGCTCAGACCCTATAGGGGCTCTGCAGAGGCCCTTAGTGCCACTGTGTGTCTTAGGCTTAGAGCTGCTTGGGGACTGGCCTTGTTCCTACCCATGGTGGGGGTGTTGTGCAGCAGGCCTACCTCCCCCCAGGCGAGCCCCATTCCTGGTGGGATTTGTGTGCTGGCATCAGGCTCTGTGCTGGCATCTAACCCTCCCCTCCTTCCCAGTGCAGGGCAGTGTGGTGCGAGGGCGGCTCTGGAGGCAGTGTGCTGGGTGGGTGCTGACCCTGCTGGCGCCCCGGAGGGGTGGGAAGGGCCTTCACTGTCTCCGCTGGGCAATAAATATGACCAGGGGCTCTGGTCTGTGTGGGGGTGGGCTTGGGAAGGGGCCAGACTGCCCTTGCAGCTTAGGAGCCTGCCTGCTTTCCGGGCCTTGTGCAGTCTGCATTGTTCGAGCAGGGGCTGGCTGGCTGCCTGGAGCCCAGGTTGACCTGTGCTGGGGCAGGCAGTGGCTGCAGGGAGTGCTGGCTTGGAGGAGCTGAGCTACATCTCTCTGGGGCAGAGATTGCAAAGCTGGAGGCTGAGCACTGCTCTGTGTCCCCACAGCATCACTTGGGCTCCCCCGGGGGCACGGCCTATGCTAAAACTGCTGCGGTCAGGCGCTGAGCTCAGTCTCCCATAGAGATCAGAGGAACTTGGCCTCTGGGCATGGGGCAGTAGTGCTACAGCTGCCCTAGACTGGACAAGATGTTGGATGGGGCAAAGCATGTTACCAGGGCCTGCACTGGCAGGCCTGTGTGAGAGCATGTGGGGGGGGCACGCAAAGTGCTACAGTGTGTGTGTCTGCCGCTGTGGTGCCCAGCTGAACTAACTGCAGCACATCTTGAATCCGTGACCAGCAGAGATGTCTGTGCACTCAACTGTGCAGGGGCTGACGGCCCAGTTTGGACGTAGGATGGATCAGGGAATGGACCATGCAGTTGCACTCGTTTGCTCTTGTGGCTAAGTGTGATGCTGGCTATCTGCTTCTCAGGGTACTGTCTTTGATTGCAGCCAGCCTGGCCCAGCTTGTCATTGGGCTGTGTGTGGAGACTGGTGGAGCTGGCACTGGGGGGGGTCTAATGGGCCAAACTGGCCTAGATGTGTTCCCAGTGTGCTGTTACATCAGCTTTTCCTTGACAGTTCAGCACTGTCTTGGCAGCAAGGGCCTGCAAAGGCTGCTAGAACTGAAGATTTCCCTGTTAGCTGTGCAGGGAGGTGGCTTTCCTGGTGGTCCATGCTGCTGCCTGTTGCTGCTGCACTGGCTGTACTGGGAGCTGGGCTGTTTGGCCCTGGGTGGCCCTCATCCCCCAGTGCCGTATGGCTCTGTGCTGAAGCCGCCCGTGGCTCAGATCCAGCTGTCTGTCTCTGGGCATGTGCCCAGGCCTCTGACCACCCCCCTAGTTGTGATGGATCAAACTGCTACAATCCCGGGGACCAGTGTGCCAAACTGCCTGTCAGCTGTGACAGGCTCCTGTCCCTTGCCATGGTGTCCTGGTGCCACCACATATTCGCCCCCTCCCCTTCAGCTCCATAGTAACAAGCTGCCAACACATGGGGCTTCCTGCGCTGCACCCTCCCCTGCCCTTGTGGGACGCGATTAGGACATTTGTCATCTGAGCTAATTCTTTTGACCCGAGCCCACCTGCTCCTCCCGTTTAGGAACAACGTTCAGGTCTACTCCCCTCGTAGACCTCTGCATTGGAGCAGAGCAGGGCCTATAGGCACTAGCATAGTACCAAGAGCAGTTCTCACCTGGGCCCTGGCCCAACAGTATTGGTAGTGTAGTGTGACCTAGTAAAGGGCTGTTACATACAGGATAGATCACAAGCACTGTGCAGCAATTGGTGCCGTCTTCTCTATGGGAGATGCTCAGTGCTGCCTACAGTGGCTGTGAGAGAAAATACCTGCTCTGGCTGGAGGTTCGGAAGGACAAAGGAGGGAGGCAGTAAAGAGCAGGGGCTGTCTTTGCACAGCTGCTCTGAAGGGACACCAAAGGCCAGAGCACCCTGGTTCGAGCCTCAGTTTGTGCATAGCAGCTAAGAGTTTCAGAGCTGAACATAACTGTTACAGATGGTTTGGGTGAAAATTGCAGGCTCCTGCCTGAGCTCGAGAGTTGTGAAAGCAGAGTCATGGCATGGCCAAGCCACCAGTGGCCGCTGAATTGAACTGTTGATGGATGCAATAAATGTCTGGCTCTGAGGAGCTGTGTGCTGTGTTTTAATTGGGGGGCAAGGGCGGGAGCTGGCACGGGGCAGCCTAGTTGGCATGGCACACCTTCCCTTCCACTCCCCCCACTCCAGGGGCAAAGAAAGGGCTCCCATGTGGGGAGATGTGTGGTGGGGGTAGAGTAGCCCCACCAGCCTCTCAACCTTCAGAGCAGGATCTTGCAAGTTACTCGGGTGCTTGCAGCAGGGCGTCATGTCCTAGAGCTTTGCTGCTGAGCTGTGGGCTGGAAGCTGGGCATGACGGGAGCGAGTTCGGGTTTTAATGAAAACCTTTTAAAGACATTTAATTCCTAAGACTCCACCCGCTGATTCCCAGCCCCAGAGCAGAGCGTTGGGGGACTAATTATGCCCCATGACTGGCTGAGATTCAAAATCTGAATTGCTCCCTGCTCAGTTGCTAAATGGAAACGTGCTCTCTGTCTCCAGGAGGGGCAGCAGGGTGTTAATTAAAAGGAAGTTGTAAAGTCCCTGGGAGCAGAGACGGAGGCCGTACCCGGCACTCGGCTGCGAGGCAAAGGGGAAGTGTCCTATCCTTGCTGCTGTGGGAGCCAGGTCTGGCTGGGGTTAGGCAGAGTATTGATGGGGGTGTCTGGGAGTGGAGCTGTGGGATTGGCAGGCGCAGTGGGTGCCTGCCTGTGGGTGATGGCTATCAGTCAATTCTGGACTAGGGTCCCAGCTGCCTCCGGGCAGGTGCTGGCTTGGTGCGCATCTGCCTGCAGGTGTTTCCTGCAGCGTGCAGCCAAGGCATGTTTCTTCCTGGCTTTGCTCCCCTGGGCCCTGTGACCCTTTCTAGGACACTGGGCAGGCATGGAGCAGGGAGAGCCTGGGAGCCCCAAGGCAGCTCATCTTGGTAGTTCAGCAGGGTGGTGCAGGCTCCTGGAGACTGCTTGCTGGGGATTTTTGAGTCCCACTGGTTCTGCAAGGCCTTAAGAGTTGGGGCCAGAAGGAGCTGCCCTAAGGCAGGATCCAGCCTTGGTTTTCTTGGTGATTGCAGGTGTCAGTGCCTGGGTTAAAACTCCTGGTTCCCCACTGATGGGAAGGAGCCAAGGACCCGGAGCAGTATGGCTGTGGTCACAGGAGATTGCACCAACTCCTGTCCTTGGGACAGGAGATTGCCAGGCCCCATGAAACTCGGCTTTAGTGGCTGCCCAGTGAAAGGCATGAGGCAGGAAGAAGCCCCGTGGCTGCCCCAGTGCAGTGGTGCCTGCTGTCCCTTGTGCTCTAGTACCTGGCTCCTTGCTCCCTTTTAGCACCATGTGGGCCTGTGTAAAGCGAAGCAGCATAAGCAAGCTGATGGGCACAGCGATGGGAGCTCCTACTGTGCTGTGCCGGGGCTGGAGCTCTGCATGCTGAAACGAGAGAGCTGGAGGTCCCAGCAGAGCAAGGCTGCCCCTTCTCCATGCTCTGCCCTGCTCTCAGATGTGGGGGACTAGGATTTGGGAGGTTTTCCCTGTCCCCCCTCCCTCACCTTTTGGAGGCAGGGAACAGAACAGCAGATACTGTCAAGGAGCCATCTCGCATGAACAGCCACGGGGGAGGCAGAACAGGGCTCGGTACCAGTAGACGTGCCCTGAGGGGCTGTGTCCTCATGCTGCTTTCCCATGCCCTAGAAGGGCCAGAGGTGCCTTGAATCAAGGCTGCACAGAACTGTTATGAATTGTATTTATTACGGTGGTGCTCGAGACCCGAGCACGTCCAGCCCCGCTGGCCAGGGGCAGTGCAGACAGCAGCAGACAAGCCCTGCCCCAAGGAGCGCACAGGCTATGTAGACAAGGTGGGTGCAGGGTAGAGGATGATACACTGTCCTTATTTCCTGCTTGCTCCCTGCAGGTGAGATGGCCCCAGCCACAGGCAGCTCTGGCCTGATCTTTCCCTGCTCTCCTCTAGGTTATGTGCTAGGCAAGGAGGTTGCTACCTTGTGGGCTCTGGTTTGCCTTGCCCCCCTGCAACACCAGAGGGGCCATTAGGCTGCCACGTGGATGGCTGAGGGCAGGGGCTGATGGGACGGTTAGGCACAAGCACAGAGCGCAGAGCTGGGGGGCTGGGACCAGCAGCTCCAAACAAGCCCTGTAGCATCACCCCCTTCTGTGAGATCCCCAAGGAGCAGCTTCCAGCCCCTGGGCCTGATGGATCGAGCGAGGCCGCTTGTGCTCAGCCCCTAGCTCCAGTTTGGAGCAATTGGCCTTTCTTTGGCAGATGGTGCCTCTGGGACCCGAGGAGGCTTGTTGCTGTGCCACTCACCAGCATCTCAGCCTCTGGCCCGGGGGGAGCCCTTAGTGAGCAGTTGTTAACACACATGCCATTCTCCTGGGGGTTGGGGGAAGGCTACTTGGGTGCCTTCCCCCATCAGCTTTAGCTGATGGCCTGAAATCACCATTGCTTGCAGCTTGCGAGTTGCCTGCCAGAGGCCTTTGTGAAGCCAGAAGCTAGTCACAGGGGACTTGAACTGGCTTTGCTTGTCCGGTGCTGCTGCTCCAGGCGGGAGGCCTGGCCTGAGCTGTCTTGATTGCTGTTTGCACAGCTGCCCTTGCGCAATGCAAAGAGAAGCCAAACAAAGCATCTTCCTCTCGCACGGAGTTTGTTCCCCTTGTGCCTTGGCAAGGATAGGTCCCCTGGGCCCTTCCATCTGGGCTTCTTCCATCTGGGCTGAACTGGGGGCTTCAGCACACGCAGGGCCAGGCTGGGACGGAAGCCATAAATAAGAACAAAAGTGGAGGTGCTGGTTGCAGCCTTTCCATGGACTTCCTCCACAGCTGAAAGGGGCTCTGCAGGGCTGGGACCAGGCACTGGTAACCCAACAAGAGCTACCTGTATCCAGGAACAGTGGCAGCCTAGTGCAGCGCGAATGTGGCATTGACCGAATCGGAGCTGTAAGCGGCGGAGCTGCCTGGGCTCAGACACGCTCCCTCCCACGGGGACAGGGTTCCTTGGCCAGCTTTGGACTTAACGGCCTAGGCTGCCCTAGCGTGGCCACCCCTGCCATGAGGCAAGGGCTTGAGACCAAGGTGGAGCCATATTTCGAGGCCAAGAGCCCATAACTCGCTGCCAACTGCTCCAAGTCCCATGTCACCTCCTTGGTCAACAGCTCAAATCCCACCTTCAGACTGCACGTTTCTGATTTGGGTATCTGGCACACAGCCATGACGGCCCAGTCTGGAGCCACGGCCGGCCACTTAAAGAGCAACGAACCCTGGTGGCACCATTTTCTGTTGCAGTGGCTCAGTTCTCATCTCGGCCCTGAGGTATGCCTGCTGCCCCGTTCCACACTTCCCTTTCCCCCCTGCCCAAGCCTGGTGCTAGGGCTGTCTGCCACACTTCGCTATATTTGCTCAATTGGTTTGGACATAGCTTTTCTCCTGTCCTTCCCGAGATGCCAGCCCCTGCTCAGGGGCCTGAGGCATTTGGAGAGGACAAAAAAACCCAAACCTGTTACACGGGTGAGTCTTACATTGCTAACTGACAAGACTATGCTGAGGCTAACGCACAGCATGCCTGCTGTATACGCTGGATAGGTTTCTATATATATATTTATATACATACAGTAGCTATGGGGGGATGTCAGATCCCCAGAGGTCCAGGACTTCCTGTGGCCAAGCCCATACCCTTCTTTCTCAGTCCCAGCCACAGATGCAGGGCCGTGAGCCTGGCTGGGAACTGAGGTGCTTTGCCCCCAGCCCTAGCATCTTCTTCCAGGGCTGGGCAGGAATGTCTTCCCCCTGCCTCCACCAGAGCTGTGCCAGCCCCTGCTGCCTCCCCTGCAGGTGTGTGGGGCTTGGGGGCTGGCGTACTTTGGTTGTCGCTGTGGGTTGGCAAAGGGAGTAGTCAGGACAATTCTTGGGGTGTTTCTGCTTGACCGAAATGCTGGCTCCTGAGCTCACTTTGTGCCAGGCTGTTCCCTGAGGAAGGGCAGGGCTCAGGGTGGTGCAGGGGCTCTGGGGAGCAAACATAACCATTCAATGACTGCATGAGCTGAATGCACAGCCAGGCTGTGCAGACAAGGTCATCGAGGGAGGTGGGGCAGGGCCACCACAATGGAGCCCGTCTCTTCTGCTTTGTGACTTCAGAGCTAGCCCAGGGCAGCAAGTGAGCACCAGTCAGTGCTCTTGGGACAGGGGCTGGGCAGTGGCACTGAGCTGGGTTCACCACTAGCCTAAAGGACCAGTCTCAGGGCAAGGGGAGAGCTGGCCTGGAGGCTCCAGGAGCACATTTAGAGCCTGCGGACAGCGCTGGCAGCCCAACCTGGACTTCCAGCCAAGCCCTGCATGTGCCGTTGGTAGCTTCCTTCTTTTGGTGGTGCTCTGATGGGCCACCTGCCGCTCCAGGGTTGTCTGGGGGTAGGGGGGGGTTGATTTCAGCAGCTTCTCCCAGCGGCAGGTGGTGGGATGGGCAGTAAACCACAGCTCCTCAGTCTCTTGGTCCCTAGAGTTCCCTGCTGCCCGGCTCAGGGGTCTCAGCTGGTCGGGGCTCTGGTGTGGTCCATGGTGGGGGGATCCCCTGCCAGCCCCTCCTGGGCAGGGGGTCCCTGCAGGCTGCTGGCTATGCCATGCTGCTGTTGGAGCATGGTGTGCTCTGGGTGCTGCCAATGCTGTGGCTGGTGCTGCTGCTTTCGGAGGCAGGTGGGTTCACAGAGACTGGCTGCATTTTGGCTGTGGGACCTGGAGCATATCACAAGGCAGAAGCATAGAAAACATGAGGGAGGGAACAGGGGGTTTTTCTTCACCCTTAGAAAAGTCTCGGAAAACTCCTGGCTGCCGGCTGGGTGACTGATGACAAGGCACAGCCAGCCTGTGGCAGCTCATTCCAGCCTTGACCTCTTGGGGCCCAGCTAAGCCAATTGTCTCCTTGTTTTCCCTGGCACCGGCCTTTCCTCACAGAGATAAAACCAATCATCCTGTCCCCGCATCCAGGGCCCAGCTGACGCATTCAGGATGAAGGCCTGCCTCATTGTATTGGCCTGGCTCTATCGCTACTGGTGCCTTCTGGAGATAAACTCTGGGAACCAGGGGAAGCTTGGAGCAGCCTCCCGGGTCCTGGGGAAAAGGAGCAGGGCTCCTTCTGCAGTGTGGGAGCATTGGAGGGAATGGGGAGGGAGCAGTGCTCTGACCTTTTACTGGCCAAGAGTTGCAATCCCATGAGACCAAAGCACAGCAAGGCCTTGGGGTTGCCAGTGCTGCTATCGGTTCCAGCTGGAGGCCTCAGGAAGATGAGCCAGATGGATTTTAACAGCCTGACAGTATTTTCCATGGCATGCAGCACTGGGCCGGATGTGCTAGCTGGGGGCCTGGCCCTAGTGCCTCCCTTGAGGAGCAGAGCTGTTGCATGGAGCCAGCTGCAGGTTCCTCGGGCCTTGGAGCAGGTCTGAGCCTGGAGTGGGCTACATACAGAGGAGCCTGAGTGAGGGAAACCTTGGCTTGGGGCAGGGGCAAGAGGCTGGTCCCCGTGAGCTGTCTCGGGCTCAGGTGGGGAGGCCTGTGGAGCAGCCCAGCCTGGGACCTGGCTCGGCGAGCAGGTGTAACAGGTACTCACGGGTGTGAGAATAAATGTACCAGAGCGCGGCGGTGAGCAGAGCGCCGATCAGGAAGGCTCCGAAGGTGATGCCCAGAACTGCTCCCATCCCTAGACCTGGATCTGGTGGGATACAAGCAGTCATCAGTAAGGAGCTGCAGACACCCTGGTCCCAACACTATCGCCCTGTGCCCAGGTGCCCTTCCCTCCCTGGGGCATCCAGCACAAGACGCCTTTGTCATTTCCATGCCCAGTCCCGCTGTGCCATGCAGCCCCATCTGCCTGCTCCCCAGTGTGGCCCAGGAGAGGAGAGACGAGAAGGCCCAGTGGGGGGAAGCAGACAGCCAAAGCACAGCCTGGTTGAGCCAGAGCAGGACGAGTCTTGCCCAGGGCTGGGGGGCAGTCTGGCTACGTGCGGACTTTGCTGCCTGGCAGGAGAGAAGCTTCCCAGTGTTGCAATGCTTTGGTGCGGACAGGAGTGTGGCAGCCACATGCCACCGCTGCGCCAAACCCTCACTGCCACACGTCACAGCCCACCCCAAGCACAGGATGACCAAGCCCAGCTGGTGCCCGCTGCCATGGGCTCTGAGTGCTGGTCCCCCCGCGTGCACCTCGGCTCCCCTGCCCTATAGCTGAAGGGACAAGGTAGCGACTGCTTCAGGTCTCTTTTGATTCATGACAAATCCTCAGACTTGTCTCTAAAACAAGTCTCAGGACTGTCCAATCCCCAACTCCCCACAAACTAAAAAAAAAGCTGGCAGCTTTCAGCAGCACAGCTTGCTCTGGCTAAGCCCAGTGGCTGCTCCCAGCAAAGTGCCAGGGGACAGGAGACACATGTCTGCGATGTGCAGCACGGGGCCCAGCCAGGGCAAACTCATGTCCAAAGCCTTTCCTTGCTTTGTTGGGCTGCTGTCCTGGGGGAGCAGAGCAAACAGAGGCAGGAAGAGGCGGTCAAGGTGGGAGGAAAGCAGGAAATCATCCTGGCTGGGATGGGACTGTGGAAGCAGGGTTGTGTTGCCTGGAAAGATGGGCTTGGGAGGGGGTGTGGGGCTGACCGGAAACACCGCCACGCTCCCTCGCAGAGTAGCTGCAAAAGCCATCACTACTGTGTGGAGGCAGCAGCTGGACACTGGTGGGGTAAGGCTGGGTGCGGGCCTGGCTAGTGGAGCAGGACCCCCTCAGTGGGGCATCCTGCATCCCTGATCTTAGCCAGGATTTCAGGCTGAAATCACCTGCCCGTGCCCATCAGCACTTGTCATCTACTTTGTTGGTGACAGGCCTATGCCAGATGCAGGTCACACTCAGACCCAGTCCCTGAAGGCTCCCTAGTGGCTGCATCTTCCTCTGCCAGGAGCTATGTGCTGCGTGGCGGTCCCAGACCAAGGGACAGGGCCTCACAATCAGGGGCAGGGGGTCTTAGCAAGAATCGCCAAGTATATTTTATATACTGGGGTGGGTGG